CAAGAATGAAATTCTGCTCAGAAAAATTATCTATTAGCCACACTACCGCTGTTGACTGGAAGAACTCTCTTCGCGAAATTTGCGCCTGGCGGCTTTTGCAGACTCCAACAGTTATCAGCGGCCCAGGTTTACACGAGGAGATCGGTGAAACACTAATACCTCGCCGTAAAAACCACGCAGGGCGAGTCTTTCCCCAGCAGTGGCACGCCTAAAAGATGCAGAATAAACGCCAATGCGGCCCACTCTGATCTTTAGTGGATAGCTATTTGTGTGAGTTCGTTTGGAGGCAAAGGTCCCGAAAAACGGACCTTTTCATGCAAATTATTAACGACATGTCCCAATTTCACCCTCTTCAATAAAAACTAAAAGTACAAATTTCATATCCTCTTTTTTCTAATCTTTTTTGAGTGGCGGGGCTTATCTGGAAAAGATCCTGAATGGCATCTCCGAAGGCATCTGGCTATCAAGGTTGAATCGTTTAGCGCCCTGGGCTGACGACACTCCAGAGGTCTACTATCGCCGCTGATTTGTCAAGTTGGATCGATTTCAGGGTCTGCTCAAATTAGAAAATCCATTGTTACCTGTAATTGCGACCCAAAAGGGTGGGAACATATGAATACAAATGGACGGAAATGGTATTCAATCTGGAAGTGTGTTCACGGCTGACCCCTAGTACCGGACTGCGGAGAGAGTATGCTTACATAGTGGTTTGTTAATAATATGGTTACAGCATATACCCGTCGTTGAATGCTTTTCTCGAGCTGCGAAAACAGCAGGGTTGGTTGTCGAAGCCATTTTCGATGCTGAACTATGCGTACCATTGTCATTATCTCCATAGTTTCCAAAGCTTCGCATGACGAATGCGAGACAGGAAGCAAGATAATACTTGCGTGGGTATGGCAGTCGCGGTACCGTCGTCGCAACGTCGTACTTGGGTTCGTGGACAGCCCCGTACATGAACATCTTTGGTGCGCCAGTTGGGGATGTCAGGGTAGTTAGAAGTGGCCAAAGAATTGTGACAAATTACGACCACATGAGTCAAGAATATATTTTGGCGTAGTTCATTTCTGCCATTCAAATGAGGCCATATCTAGATTGGGCACTAAAAAGGTCTGTTAGGGGGCACTATTGTATGAGTTAGACTGCGGCCCGAAATAGCAGCAACATAAGAGTGGTCAAAATTTTAACTACGTCGGTGACTCGACACTGTCCGATCTCAAAACTGATTTAGTTGGAGATATCAGGAGACGGCAGTTTGCGGTTGATGGGAACGTGGATGGCTATATATGACTTGCGTGCATTAGCTAAATTGCGCACAACCCAGGCCCTACCCAGTTATGTAATCACCCATGAACCTGGATAGAAAGGGCAGTTGTGTGAGTAAACGGTCCCCTAAATCGTGGTTGAAACCTATGTGGCTTCGTAGGCAGTTCATATAAATGGGAATGTTTAGCTGGCAAGAAATTGGGAAGGTAGGGGAATTATGCATTGGATCGTGTCATCACAGACAGCGTTTGGAACATTTCGGGAGGTGGGCGAATGAGCTGCAGAGTAGGACAAGCTATCAATAATGATCCACAGTGAACAGTAGCCGGCTGGGGATATGGATGACTTTCTGATATTGATTGCCGCGCGGAAAGGCGGTAACTAACCCTGGAAGTCGGGTGAGTCTAGGTAGATTAATAGTTTTGAGCATGCAGCGACAAGAGATCAGGGGAAAAAGGTGAGGTTAATGATGGCTTGTTTGGCACTGTCACAGCCTTATGAAGAAGCCTTATGAGACTCCACAAAACGAACTGCGTCGGAACGTCACATGGCCTGTTAGCTTACAGGAGACACCAGTTTTCATTCTGCTATAAATGATGTTTTGATTCAAAGGAGGATCACTCGGGATGTATGACACAAAGTTTATTCCTTTCTATTTTTTCCCTTCTCCAATTACAAAAGGCTTTGTATGAGTTTAGGCATAGGACCGAATGTCTTTTGTAGGAGGGAATATGATTGAAAGCACAGTTGTCAGCCATGCAGGCTTTCCAGTCG